CATGCTCACCTCGAGATGCAGCTGTTATAGCATCGCTACGGTAATATGTATCCTCCTTAACATCTCCCTGTTCGAGATTCTTGACAATCTCACTTCCGAAGACAGCCTACCTTGGGTGAAAACGCTCCACGTCCCATTGCCGTAGCAATATAAACTCAATACTTATGCCCAAGTCGAGATCAACATCAAGCAAATCGACACATACTTCAAGTGCTCAACAGGCGATAGAATGCTCATGGTGTAGGACATATCGTTACATTTCGTATACGTATTTCCTTCGCTCTCAAATTCATTATTCGTCGCATTTCCTCACAACGCTAACACTGCCGGACTCTACAGATAAGTTGCTTACAAGTTGACGGCAGTCCTGAAGTTGTTGCCGGCGTAGATGGCGTTGTCGCCGAGCTCCTCCTCGATACGGAGGATCTGGTTGAGCTTGGCGAGACGCTCAGATCGGGCTGGCGCACCAGTCTTGATCTGACCAGATCGCAGACCGACAACGATATCGGCGATGGTGACATCCTCAGTCTCACCGGAGCGGTGAGAAACCATGACACCCCAGCCAGCGCCGAAAGCGTCCTTGGCAGCCTGGATGGCCTCAGTGATGGTACCGATCTGGTTGACCTTGAGGAGAAGGGCATTGCAAGACTTAAGTTCAATAGCCTTCTTGATGAACTCGGGGTTGGTGACGGTCAAGTCATCACCGACAATCTGGCCATCGTAGGTCTTGAAGAAATAAGACCAAGCCTCCCAGTCGTCCTCAGCGAAGGGGTCCTCAATGCTGATGATGGGGTACTTCTCGGCCAGCGACTTGTACAGCTCGGCGAGTTGTTCGTATGTGAGCCACTTGCTCTTGTCGCTGTCGGGGTTCTTGAAGTCGAGGTCGTACTTCTTCTCGTCGGCCTTGTAGAACTCGCTGGATGCGACATCCATGGCGATCTTGATCTTGCCAGTGTAGCCAGCCTCCTCAATAGCCTTGGTGATGAGGTCAAGGGCCTCCTCAGGAGTCTGAATGTCTGGGGCAACACCACCCTCGTCACCAACGTTTCCGGCAGACTGTCCGTAGGTCTTCTTGGCGAGGGCCTTGAGCTTCTGGTAGACTTCGGCTCCCTGGCGCATGGCCTCGGAGAAGGTAGGGGCCTCACTGGAGGTCATTAGTATGGGTGGCTACTCGTATATGTAGATAACCTACCAAGGAACGATCATGAACTCCTGGAAAGCAAGGCGGCCACCAGCGTGCGAGCCACCGTTGAGGACGTTTTGGACTGTATAGTCAGTAAAAAAGGTTTTTTTTTCCGGATGAGCGTTTACTCACAGGGTACGGGGAGAACGTAGGGCTTCTTAGTGCCAGCCAAGTCGGAGATGTGTGCGTAGAGGGGGACACCCTTCTCGGCGGCAGCGGCCTTTGCGATAGCCATTGAGACACCGAGGATGGCGTTAGCACCCAGGTTAGTCTTGTTTGTTGTGCCATCGAGCTTGTTGAGGAAAGCGTCTACGGCGGACTGGTCCTTGACGTCGAGCTTCTCCTTGATGAGAGCAGGGGCGATGGTGTCGTTGACGTTGGCGACAGCCTTGGTGACACCCTTACCACCCCACTTGGACTTGTCTCCATCACGGAGTTCGCAAGCCTCGTGGGAGCCGGTGGAGGCACCAGAGGGGACGATGGCGCGGTGAAGGCCGGTCTCGGTGACGATGTCAACCTCGACAGTCGGGTTACCCTGAAGACGTTAGAAGTGAAGCTTGACAAGCATGGATGTCTGAATACGTACCCGAGAGTCGTAGACGGAGCGGGCGTGGATCTTGGTGATGGTCATTGTGAAGGATTGCTGTTGAGAGAGTCAATTGGAGAGTTGGGGAGCCGCGAAGTGCAAGGCAGGAGATATAGAAGCAGATCGGATGCGCGGGCAGCAAAGTCCGGCCGCGGATAGGATGCCGAGCAGAAAATTCGACTTACTAGTTGTATGTGTAAGATCAAGTGTCGGTGTTGTTTTGTTTGGGTGGGGTGTTCCAGAGCTTAAGAGTCCAGCAAGGTTTTGGAGGGGTCGCTCAGCAGAAATCAGCCCCGCTATGACGCCGTCGCCTCATTGGTAGCCACCCACGGCCTCTTTGTAAAAGTGTGCATTAACATTATCGCAAAAGCATCGAGTGGGACGACGCGCAAGCTGATTTGGGGGACCTGTGGGATATGATTGACAGACGCCGGTGATGCATTCTCTCTTCGGCCCTGTCGATTATGCACGGGAGATCGTCGTCCAAGGTAGCTTCTTTCGCAAGGGATTCAAAACCTCAGACTGCTCATTGGGGAAATACCCAGAGATGTCAGACAAGTGCGATACAAAGTCTTCTCAGCCAAGCCAGGCGAAACAGTAGCTCTTCTAGCACCGGTGGAGAAGTCGAGCAGAGGTCAATTCATTTTAACACAAACACTGACCTGCGGAGTCTGTTGCATGTAGTTGTAACTACCGTCAGTGTCTCGTGAGTGGACCGCGAGTATCATCACGGTTGGTTATCCATCTCTTGTGTTACGTGAAGACTGCAGATAAGTCTTGGACTTCTGAGAACCGTGACAGGTGGTCGGAATGGTTCAACAAAGATAGCTGTTCGGGCCGGTACAAGGGCACAGCGTCGTGAAGTAGGTATTGGTGCGGGTCAACAAAGAGGCGCACCTGAGGCTATGCCAGTATGGCCATTATTCGGTGACGAATATTTCATTGAACATGATTTACGAATTGAACGGATCCAAAGCTGCGAGATATCCCACGGGCCTGGATGGACGCAACTTTGCCTACTAAAGACGTGCATGTTCACATCCAAGTCCAGTTCTGCCAAGCCCAAGCTGGCCCAAGCTTCATCTGTACGGGCAGCCGCGACGCTGGGAGCTGCCTTCGCGTGTGGGTTCAACATCACCGTATAACCACACCAATACCGTCCTCCCCGCTATATCAACTCGCCCGTAGGACAAGGCTTCTGGCTTTTATCTGATCTTACGCCTTCCCACCCGACTATCCAAAAGCCCGACGAAAGTCGCCCTCCAACACACCTACCGTCACCACTTCAAGCTCATCACAATGTATGTCGTACTGAAGATACGCTGTTCCGATACTAACCACAGTACAGGGAGGTTCTACTAGGAATCACCGGCAAGGACTTCACCCTGATCGCCGCCTCCAAAGCCGCCATGCGTGGCGCCACCATCCTCAAGGCATCCGACGACAAGACCCGAGTACTCAACACACATACCTTGATGGCTTTCTCTGGAGAGGCTGGTGACACTGGTATGACAGAAGAAGAGGTTACGAGGGATTAGCGGTAGCTAACAACGGTGCAGTTCAATTCGCCGAGTACATTCAGGCAAACGTACAATTATACTCCATGCGCAACAACATGGAGCTGTCCCCCGCCGCGACAGCCAACTTTGTCCGAGGAGAACTGGCGTCAGCGCTGAGGTCAAGAAAACCCTACACGGTCAACTTGCTGCTAGGAGGATATGACACGATTGCCGACAAGCCGACTCTGTACTGGATCGACTACTTGGCGAGTCTAGCGCCGCTGCCATACGCTGCACATGGATATGCACAGTATGTTTTACCAGTTGTTGTTTTTACAGCAGCATACCCAACTCCGCTTCTGCATGTTCCTACACGCAAAGATCCCATGCTAACACAGTACCTCCAGATACTACTGCCTCTCTCTGCTCGACAAGCACCACCATCCCGACATCGACTATGAGCAAGGCATGAAGATCTTGCGGATGTGCACCGAGGAGCTCAAGCGACGTCTTCCGATCGACTTCAAGGGCGTACTGGTTAAGGTCATAACGAAGGATGGCATCAAGGATGTGGAATATGAGGACGATGTGAAGGTTGCGATTCCATAGAGGGCTATGGTTTACGGAAGCTAGATTATTCCGTCGAACGATTTATGCATAACAGATAGGTGCCATTACGATTATGACACTTAAGCATGACAGGTAACGAGAACAAATAGTCAAATGATATTAATGACTACGCCATGTTCCTGATGCGTTACAGTAGCGGCTATACATATCCTTGCTTGTTGCTTAGACCATGGTCCCGTTGTCTTCGCCGACTCACTCTCCACACGGATTGACTGATGGTTCCGTAAAAATGTCCAGGCTTAGCTGAGCCTGAGTGCAAATGAACGTGACCATGTCCTAAGATAGCTTCGAAGACACTCTACTCTGCGCAAAGGCAAACCCGAAGCAACACAGGACGAGTAGCATGCTTGCACGCATCTGGTTCACATCAAAGCACGCATAAGACAAAGGTATGTCCTCCCAATAAATCGACACCGCAGACTCATCGCCATCACTGAAGACGACCCAACGAGAAAGCAGCTTCCTACAGGAGTATCGCTCTCCGACCCCACGCCACCGTAGTGACTGGCAACTAAAAGACAAAGGTGTTCTGATAGTCGTGGCTGGGTTCGTTTGTATTTTTGATCAAAGAGCGAGAAAGGAGGACGAGGGGCGCAGAGTTTTTATACTGAGATGTGGGGTCCGCCAAGCCAGTGCACGGGCGGAAGGGTTTTTTGCGGCGGCGGGCACGGGCACGGTCAAGCGGCGGCGGGATTGGGGACGACGATGCGTGCGGCGAAAGAACGACACCAACACTCTCATGATGCTGCAGACGACGATATTGCGCGACAGCGGAGGCGTAAAGACATGTCGCGTGGCAGATCTTCAATGTTTGCTTGATGCAACGACAGACACAGACACGTTCAACTGAACTGCCTCCACACCAACAACCCGTCGCTTCACAATTCACGATTCACGATACAAACAGTCAAAGAGTACAATGTGTTGGGTAAATACTTTTTTTTTCATTTCGGGGAAGTTGATGGGCATAAAGCATGTCGCGATCTACCACTGCAAGATGAGGATAACACCGCCGCTTAAAAGAAGAACTTTTACGTTCAAACCATGGTACCCATCTGACATGCGCTTGCCTAGTCGGACTTATTCGCAGCTATGTCGCTTCCTAGTTCTTGTATCCGTTCTCATAACCATTAGCCATGACTTCCTGTAAGCCCTGGGGAGGGCCAGCAGCCTCTCCCTTGGCGGTGCCATTGACGGCGCCGTTGGTCAAGCCGTTCATGGTCTTCTTTGACTCATGCATAGCGTCCTCAATGGGCTTGTCGTTCATGGTGTATCCGGTGTCGGATGCATCGACGAACGCGTCAAGACCGGCACCCTCGCGAGGGTACTCCTTCATCAGCTCCTTGTGTCGTCGCAGAGCCTTGTTCATCTCCTCAGGGGAGACGTCGTTCAGGAACACGCAGGTACCGATGGGGTTGGGCACGGCAGCACGGAGCAGACCGTCACGAGTCTTCAGGATAGCCTTTGTGGCTTTGTCAAGCATGTCCTCGTCGAACAGCTCGTGGTCCATGGATAGACCGGCCCTGGAGAACAGGTTCAACAGTCTCCTGTGCTCCTCATCGCTGAGAAGACCACGCTGGTTCGCCAATGTCGCCGAGTAGGCCATGTCGATAGAGATGGCATGGCCGTGACGAAGGGGGACCTTGGGCGAGAGCTACAAACGAGTCAGCAAAGTCAGCGTCCATAAGGTGCAGCAGCCTTACCTCGTGGAGCGGGCTCCAGGTGTGACCGTAGGCAATAACACGATCAAGACCGATCTCGTGGAGGTTAGGCGTCTCGAGCTTCAACATCTCGTGAATGCCAGCGCGGTTTATCTCATCCGCTGCCTGTAGGACCTCCTTGTCATCACCCTCACGGCCGAATCGAGAAGTGATTAGCTTCTCACAGTACTTGTCCAGCAAGTCGAACGTGGGCTTGTGGGCACAGGTTGAGATTTTGATCAACTCTGCGAAGCCGTTTCGTACTTGACCCTCTGGTAGGGTCTTCAAGAAAGAGAAGTCGAGGAATGTGTGCATCGGAGCGTGGTACGCTCCGAGACGGTTCTTGTAGTTGCCGTAGTTGACAGCGACCTTGATACTGACGCTGGCATCGATCAGGCCAATGACGGTAGTTGGGATACGGATGAAGTTGGTGTTCCTTCGGTAGGCGGCGCAAGCAAATCTAAGACCACGAGTTAACTCCCTTCTTTCAACGCAGTCAGGCCAGAGTGCCTTAGAGCTATATTTTACCCAGCAACATCAGTCACCAAACCACCACCCTATATCACATTAGCATCTTTTCACACCCAACGCGGACTGGATAACATACAACGACAAGTACTGGCTCCTTTCGGATGATACCAAAGTCGGTCATCGAGTCAACAATGCTGAGGAGAGTCTCCATAGACTTGGCCTTCTCGCCAATCATGGTCTTGTGGATCGTCAAGGGCAGGTTGTAGTGGTCGAAGTACTTTTGCATCTCATCGCCGTAGACGTTGTAGATGTTCAAGTCCATGACAGCTAGGCAACGGCCCCAGCGCTCGTAGCACTTGGCCAGATTGTTGTTGGCAGGGTTGAAGACGCCATCGAGGAAGGTGAAGTCATATTCGATCTTCTCGTATCCCTCGACGTGGAAGCCGTTCTTGGTCTCTACAACGGAAGCTTTGAGGTCTGACATGGTGAAAAGAGTTTGAAAAAGTGTATATGAGATACGTTGAGTTCTGCGGAGTCAAGTACGGGCACGACTGTCCTATATAAATGGCCCCAGACCGATGTCGTTTGGGACTACTCACATAGCTCGTGGTACACGCTCCGCCTCCATTGGCTCTCGCACGCCAGCAGCGCTCCAGACAACGTCAACCATACGTGTTATTCTCGTTCATGATGCGGCCACTCGTGGATCCCTTGTTGTTTGGACTTGGTACCACTTCACATCGAGCCAAACTAGGCTCCTACTGGCCGGCCATGATGAAATGACTTCAACAACAGCGCCCTCTCAGCGGTAAAACCCGGTTCCGGCACATGGGATTTGCACATTGCACATGTAACATGGGTTTTTGCGGGCTTGGACGAAGCAGAATCATCCTATTTCCCCTTCAGCTAGGGACGAAGTCGGCGTAGCACGAGCCACGAATTCATTTAGTGCCAACAACGGAGTCTCTCCCGTTGTGGAGAGACTGAGATACACTACATAAAACTGCGGGGCAATCATCGAAATCACCTCATTCCCACTTCAGGAATCGCATCGTTCGATTGCTGACGTTCTGTGGCAGATGTTGGGAGACTTTTCATTTGCCAGCTAGTCGAAAGATGTGCTGTGTGCGCGCAGGGCTGATAGTGCAGTACCGGTAGCCATACAACGGCACTTTTTTTTTACCCCTCAGTGCATGGGACAAGCTGGAAAAAATGTGACGTTCGAGGGGATCTTTTCGATCCTAGTTCCCGCTTCGGGTAGATAGAGTTTGGCGGATTCAGGATCGCTGAGGTATATTGCCTGGTAGAGGTAAGCGTACCTTGTCATGGCAAGTCCTTGTGGCTCCATAGTCGGCTAGCGGGTGCAGCAAGCTCTAGATCGTTGACGACAGCCACAGCCAACTCAACGTCAACACTATACAGAACCGTATATGCACCAATGATCCGCCCCACATGAACGTCGCATATCCACATAGTGTAGTGTGAACTCGCCTCAACCGGTGCCAAGGGCGCCTTGACGCGTACACGGGGGTGTGGCATGGAAAAGGCAGGATATAGTGTCTGAGCTACATTGGCATCCCACCCTCAATAATGTGGTTTTGCACAAAAAGCAATTTGGAGAGAGTCAATTGCTAATGTGCTAACATAAGGAGTGACATCTAGATGACTCCACGGAAGCGGAATCCGTGCTAAAACGGTCGACCGAACCAAGTGCCACTCATCGTACATGTTCCTGCATGCATTTCGTCATTACTAACCACAGCCCCGCACTAGACCACACGCGTTGAGGGGCACCCTCTGGTAGCTTGGACCTTGGACGCGTCAAGCTCACGGCTGCTCGCACAAATTCATACTGCCATTGAACAACAACAGCAATGGGTAGCTTCGATCAAAGTAAAGCATACGCAGCGCAAGAGGAAGAGGGTGCCTTCTTTGACGATGGGCGGGAAATCGAGCTCCTGCACTTTGTCTACTCGCACCCCAACATTGAGAAGATACGAGGATCACCAGAGAATGTCCTGGCAGCCATTGACGAATATGGCCGCACGAAGAAGTATCTCATGAACGTCGGAGAGGACAAGGGCCGCATTGTAACAGATTTGATCGCGGAAGTAAAGCCAAAAACTATGGTACGAGACTCCTTGGACTCATTTCTACATTTCTAACGACACGCAGGTAGAACTCGGCGGCTATGTAGGCTACTCCTGCATTCTCTTCGCAGACGCAGTACGCAAAGCAGGCGGTGAGCGATACTTCAGCTTCGAGCGCGATCCCGCTTTCGCGGCCGTCATCATGTCTTTGGTCGATCTTGCAGGCCTCACCGACCTTGTCAAGGTAATCGTAGGCTCAAGTGACGAAGGAATCGCACGACTGGCAGCTTCGGGACAACTCAAACACGTCGACCTCATGTTCCTGGACCACTACAAGCCGGCCTACACCACGGATCTAAAACTATGTGAAGAGCTTGGTCTGATAACCAAGGGCTCAGTGCTGGCAGCGGACAATGTCATCAAGCCCGGAAACCCGCCGTACTTGAAGTATGTCAGATCGAGTGTCGAGGAGAAGGTGAAGGAGGCTGGAGAAGGTGGACAGACAAACCTCAGCGGCATCGCTGAGACAAATGTCAAGATGTATGAGAAGAGATATGGCAAGGCCAAGTTCAGCGAGAGCAAAGGCAACCCGAATCTCAAGTACGAGAGTAAGCTGGTAAACAGCTACGAGCCAACTGGGGTACCTGTGAGTTCGAGCACTGGCGATGTCTCGGGAGCATACACTGACTAGCACAGGATGGTATCGAGATCACACGATGCGTTGGTTAGAAGGAAGCATCATGAGTTGGTAAAACACGCGTACTAGTCTCTATGAATCGCGAGTTTCAGCGGTGGTGGTGGGTCTTGAACGACTCAGACACGGTGATGGTAATCGGCTACCTACCAGCATGATAACCACTGGTATTGCCTCAATGGCTACACAAGTCAATGCAACAAATATTTGAATCTGTATTCCTATGCATTTGACAGAGTGTCTTTGCGAATTCGTGTTTCACAAATTGTGCGTAATGTTGTGACAATAGCATGACACGTTGCGCTTGAAGAAACAAACATGGACCCCACACACCCGGCATCCTCCGTACGAACCCCTCAATACCCATCCGCCGATCGCGGCCAGATCGCAATCTTAAAATCGGAATCCACTAAATCCAGATCGCAAATAGGTCATGGAATTCCTAGTGTTCCGCAATGTCGTACATGAGTGAAGTAACGATGACGTCTACACTAGTCATGCAAAGCCAGCATTCCAAGGCCAACAACTTTGTCTAGGCGAACGCAGCCACACGTACATCAATCACCTCGCCTATGCAAGAACGGACTTCGTGACTACGAGCCGTCCGTCTACTGCCGCTAAAATCCTCCTTACTTGCAGTTTGCATTACAGCGCAAGCTTGCAGTTTCTCGCAGGGGCAATTGAGACGTCTCTCGGTCCTATTCTTGATAAGATAACGCCGTTGGTGGTGTGTTGGGAGGCATCTGAACGGTGAAGACTGTGCGAGAACAAGTGCCGAGGTCACGAGCTGCTCATTCTCATCAACAGCAACAAGGCGAAGACATGGCTGAGGGAAAGAAGGATGCCGTGGTGTTGCCATTTTACTATAGCCATGTGTGGAAGAATGTGCTTCTACTGGCTCTGAGCGCTGTTTGCGCGCCTCTCTCGGCAGCGCTGGTGTTGGTTGGTCTTGCAGTGTCGAAAGTCCATGGGCAGCGCAACGCGACCTTTTCCAAGGAGGATAAGCAACATGTTGCTGCTGCACGAAGACGGAAAACTATTCTTGTCACGGGGGTGTCGATGACCAAGGGCCTCACTATTGCGCGCAATTTGTCTCAGCATACACCGCACCGCATCATTGGCGCCGACATCTCTGCTTTATCGCCAGGTCGCTTCTCCAGCGCTATTGCGAGGTACTACCGTCTGGACACACCGAGTGGCGACGATGCGGACCCGTATATTGACTCCATTCTCTCAATCATTCAGCGCGAGAAAGTGGACCTATGGATCAGCTGCTCCAGTGTCGTTGCAGCCGTAGAAGACGGTCAAGTCGTCCGCTTAGCAGAGAAGCAAGCAAAAGAACAAGGCCGCCAGTTCGAAGCCATCCAATTCAGGGAAGATGTTGTTGAGAAGTTCCACGAGAAGGACAAATTCATCGATTACATCGAATCCCTTGGTCTGCCGATCCCGGAATCGCACCGCTGCACTCATCCAGGCGAAGCCCTCGATGTGCTCATGGGAGAGCTTCATAGAACGCCAACGAAATCTGGAAGACCGGTACCCAGGCGACGATTCATCATGAAACCCATTGGAGTGGACGACAAGGCTCGGAACAACATGATGACCCTCCTGCCCTTTAGTACTCCAGATGCAACAGCCCAATACATCCACTCGCTCAACATCAGCAAAGAAAACCCCTTCCAGCTCCAGCAATTCATCAAAGGGAACGAATATTGCACACACGCCCTCGTCATCGGCGGCAAAGTAAAAGCCTTCACCAGCTGCCCCAGCTTAGAACTCCTCATGCACTACGAACCGCTGCCAGCCTCCTCCCCCCTCAGTAAGAAGATGCTCGAATTCACCGAGCGCGTGTGCAAGGACGGCGGCGAAACCTTTACGGGCCATTTGAGTTTCGACTTCTTAGTCGAGAATGATGATAAGGGTGCGGCTGCAAAATTCTACCCTATCGAATCCAACCCCCGCGCTCACACGGCAGTCGTACTGTTCGAGCAAACTCCCGAGATGGCAGAAGCATACCTCTCCATATTCGACAGCCCTAACCCCTTGACCTCCAAAACAAGTCTGGTCCTGTTTTCCCTCGCACCCCGACGTACAGTTACTACTGGATCGGACATGACCTGGTATCTTTCGTCATCTTACCACTTCTCGATTTGTTGTTCGGCGTCACGACGCTACAGAATGCGTTTAACGATCTAGCGACCTTTTGGAGTCATGTTGTAGGCTGGAAGGATGGAACGTACTTGTTTGAAGACCCGGTGCCGTTTTTTGTTTTGTATCACCTATATTGGCCAGCGAAGTTTTGGAAGCGTTGAGGAGGGGGAAAGGGTGGAGTCGGATTAACGTTAGTACTACGAAGATGTTTGAGGGGTGAGTGTGGGATAATGGGGTTACATGGGAGAGGGGGTTCAGTGTGACGCACGTTGGTGTGTATTTTAGATCGTTTATCGTGAGATGTTGTATCATTACCAGGGCCTCGTAGCTCGATCCAATCGCACTGCCATGCTAGCTCAACGATGCCACTTCACCCTAATCCAAACCTGTGACCTTCACCCCTTCTTCTCCTACTTGCTACTTCTACTCCACCCTCAGTCCAAACTAACATCACTCTCCGACTCCCAAACCTTTCCCATATACCCATCCCCATCCCCAGCACCTAACCACACCTTCTCCAACTCCGCAGAATCCCGTCTTGCCTTCTTCTTCTTCAGCTCCACAACAGCAATCGCCATCTGTCGCTGTAGACGAGTCTGCTGGCCATGCAGCGCGCGCGCCATACCGCATCGAGTGTAGCAGCGAAATGCGACGTGGTGTTTACTAGCAGTGCCTGTGAGACGGCGGAAGAAGCCTCTACGCGGCTGAGATAGAGCTAGAATCTTAGTTTCCTTGGAGGTACGGGAAGGATGAACGGTGATGATGTGGTGTTTCCGGGACGTGGTGCTGGAGTAGGTTATGCGGTCGTAAACTTCTTTTGGCCTGGTTCCATTCTTGATACCAGATGGTGAGCGAGCCATGGGTGCTGCGTCATAGAGTTCGTCAGCATGGATGAGTGCTGCGAGGGAAGTCGAGTTTGCGGTGCTGATGATCTGTCGGACTTGTCCATCCAAGGAATGGCTCTGCTCTACTTTTCGAGCGACGAAAGTGAGAATGCGTTGAGAGCGAGTGTCTTCGGCAGAATTGTCGATCTGGTCGCCGGGGCTAGGTAAGTAGGCTGTGCTCTTCTCAGAGTCTTCGTCTGCTTCGTACCTACGCTTGATGTCGTTCTTTCTGTCTTCCTGGCCTGATGGAACCTCGTTATCCTGAACATCGGTGGCGGTATCTGTAATCTCTAAAATAGTAGTCTGGTTTAGGATGTCTTCCAGATCGTTCTCTGCATGTTCTTGTCCCAAGAGTTGGCTGCCAGGCGTATATATCGGGCTATCCTCTGAGTCTCCATCCGCCTCAAACTTGGGCTTGACTCGATGATCGCCATCGTCGAGGCGTAGTGGAGCCTCAACACCGGCCCTATCTTCGGCAACCGCAAGTACCGCCTCCTCTTCCACCTGCACGATAGTGTCGTCGACGACAGGCGTTTCCTTCTCCGCCTCTTCGGCAGCATACGAAGCCTTGAGACCCTCCCAATCTCCCTTAACCCGCAGCTTCGCGCGCATCAACTCCACATCGCCTTTACCACGAGTCAAATCCAGCATCATCTCAGCAACACGTCGAATCTGCTTCAACGGCACAACCTTGGTCGAAAGCTGCTGCCCAGCGCCCTCCTCTGCTTCCGCCTCCTTTTCTTTCTTAGTCTTGGGCTCGATCTGCAACGCCCTGAAGAGATCGTTTATGAGTTGAAAGTTTGGAGGATCTGGATTCGCATTCATGTCTTCAGCTCGGAAGCGCCGGGCTTCGTCGCTCATGAGGACTTCCTCGCGGATACGCAGGACGAGGTCGTAGGCGCGGCGGTAGAACGAAAGGAAGTCAAAGTTACTGTGTACTTCGCTGTCTTGCAGCTCTGACTTCATGGTACCAAAGAGATTGGCGTGTATCTCGTCTTGCTTGTTGAAATCGGGTTTGCGTACCCTGGACTTGTTCTTGCCTTTGCGCCTTGGTTTTGGAGGCGTGATCTTGGTCGCTAGATTTGCAAAAGTATCTTGCAGGTCTTTCAGATCTTGATCAGCTTCTTCGATGTCATCGTCTGGCGTATCCGTAGTAGCCTCCTTCTGTCGGTAGAGGTAGTTGAAGACCGCGTGGCGCCTCAGCCAACGATCGTTGTCCGGATTTGGACCATAGTATTCGCGAATCTTAGCATCCAACGGCAACTCAGTCTGTAAGCCGCGCTTAGTACCGAATTCTTTCGACACACGAGGTAGGAAATTGCACGTGCTACGAAAATCCGAGGCCATAGTGCGACTACTAGTGTGGCTCGAGAGAAGATAGCGGTTGAGGAAGTCGTTTGGGTGAGTGGGTGGATCGCCCCGGAACATAACCTTGGACCCATGCATATTGATCAGGTAGTCGAGGTCTGGCCACCAGATATTCAGACCTCAATCTGGCAGGCGGCGTTATATAGATGAGCCAAACCGTTGATGAACCACTGTATCTTGATGATCGCAGTGTGATGGTAGATCTGATTGAAGTGCCACATAGAGAGTCCTGCGAGCGTCGCATGGACAGTGATGAAGACACTAGCGGTCATTGGCTTTTCTTGGGAGTTCAGAAGATCCTGTAGCCATTCCAACAGTCTGTCTAGAGGCTTGAGAAGTATGGTGCTGATCTTGATTTCTTCTTTGCACATATAGTCGGGCTTTGTTCCTTTCATCCACATGCGGTCCTCGTAATCGACATGGCAAAGAATGCATCTAGCGATATCTAGACCATGCTCGGTAAGGTCGCGTATCATTCGGCGATAGTCTTCGCTCACTGCTTTCTGGATATCGAGGACTATGCTCAAGCCGAAAGGTAGGTAATCTTGTGATGTATCCTGACGCAGCAGCATCTCTCTGGTGAAGTGGTCCCACTTTGGGAGCTTGAGGTTGCCCTTGCGAATGACGTCGAAGAACCCCAAGAAAAGCATGAGAGGGTGCTCTCGTATGTCGTCGTTGACGATGTTCTCTGTTGAGCGTGTCTCCGTAATGTAAATCTTGACCAAAGCGGCAGCATCCAGACCAAACAGGTGGCGCAATGCCTTTTCAGTAGGTATTATCGCTAAGCCTTGCGTTCTGGTATCAGGAGCAGTTTGTATCTTATCAAAAAGCTGACGGATAATTGTAGCCAATTCTCTAGGTAACAGATCAAGCTCTTCCACTAGTGCCTCGACGTTTTGGTGTACATGGTCCTGAGCAAGGTCAGACACCAAAGCCGCCGTAATTGCATTGACGAGACCCTCGTGGTAGAGAACCCACACCTCGTAAACAACATCCCGTATACGGTTGAGGTTGTATAGGAAGCAGAGTACAAGGAACTCTCGACGCAACTGCTCTTCCTCTGCAGTCAACGGATTCGTTTCTGGTATCGGTACCTTCTTCTTCGCCTTGGGCGTCGAAGTTCGATGTTGCTGGCCGTCTTCCTCCAAGTCGGATCTGTCCCGTTTCCGCAGCTTCTCCAACAAAACATCCTGTTCGTCTTGGCTTGTCTTAGGCCTGGTGGGAATCTGGATGAACACAAAGGTAGACTTGTCATTCTTGTGATCTTGAACCTTGTTTATTCCGGGGATGAGACCTTTCAACGCTGCCATGAGCGCTTCCAGGCTCCCGTTGAAGTATTCATGACCCAAATCCGCTGTATTGTTGTGTTTGTGATATTGTGTTATCTCCCTCCTCAGGCGGATAGCGTCGTCAAGGTCGTTGATTCCTGAGGTGTCTGCGAGTGGAACGCTCGTGGCGGCGATGGCGTTGACGAGTTGCTCTTGTTTCTGTAATGGTATCCTGTAGCCCTTCTTGCCCTTTTTTCTTCTAGCCTGGTCTGTGGCTACATTTGCGATTTCTACACCACGCTGAATCGCCGCCTTGATCAGCCACGCCTGAAATTGGTCGATGTACGTCTTGTAACGCTTGACTGTCTCGGGAAGTTCATTTCGTCGATAATAATCCATTCCGTAAGAACAGCGGGTAGGCGGTTGAGAAAATGAGTATGGGTAGTAGAAACGATATAGAGGAATGCGGTGGCAGTAGATCTAGTTGGTGGGGCAGACTCGCGAATACGCCAGAACAACTTTCACTAAGTAAGATATCTGTGCTTTCTGTTGTGGAAGGGAATAAATGAAGCATACAAGACGAGACACCTAGGGCAGTGGGCTCCCAGGCAGGCAACTTACAATCGAGTACTGTGGAAGATGACAACGCCAGTCGCGATAGCGTAGTTACGGCCCGCCAAAATACTGTTGACATGTAATGACTGACGTAACCAGGTGGTGACCTAGAGATCATGAGTTCGGTGGTCTATATCCTATCGTGCTCGCACTCTCGCAGGCTAAAAGTCCAGGTAAACAAAGTGAAAAGAGGAAAACACGCGACCAGTGTGATACGAGCCATAACGAGCCGATCATCGAGGTCATCGTTGGATCTGGAGACGACTAAACCACTAGCCAAGTTCTCGATCAGCTTCCAGCATGGTTCAGAGCATCGTTTCATTATTGGCAGGATAATTGGAAATCAGTGCTGAGGTTCGTCAGAAGTTTTCGTGAAAGGCATCGTCCGCGACTGTATCCATTTTCGTATCCGCCCATAGTACATCTATTCACAACAACGAGCGCCATTCCCTACTCTCAGGCCTCTCAATACCCAAATGATCACACAGCTGACCCATATGATCGACGCCCCAATACCCCTCAGTCTCCCCCTTCTTGTTCGTAGCAACAAACCAAGGCAATCCGAAAGCCCCATCCTCGAACGCCTTATTGGTATTCCCACCCAGTACCTTCTTCACCTCCTCCGTCTTCGTCCTCTCAACCACTTTCATTGCCTCTTCCTCACTGCCTAAAACGGTCGTAAGGATAGCAAGCAGGTTCTCCAGTTTGATCGGGTCGTTCCATTTTGCCCAGAAGTTCTTGTAGAAAAGGTCAATGGCGCGTTCAAGGTTTTGGGGGTGCGAGAGCGAGAGGGAAGCTAGGGCACGTTGGATGGGTAATGTGTTGATTGGGAAGCCGGGTGGAGTATCCTGCGATATGGGAACGTTGAACTGTTTCGATAAGCGCTGGCGCTCTGTGTTGATCCATTTGTCCTTGTCTAGCGTGTGTGTTAGAGGTGTAGACAAACGGCCGTGACTCCGATAATGGTCCACTGGGTCGGCAGTTGTATTTCTCTTTCGTGTTGTTCTTTTACTCGGACCATACCAGATACATTCTTTGCAGAGACGGGAAGTTGAACATACTCTTTATTTTCAACGGCGGTGTGTTCTCACAGACCTTCATCAACCCCCCGAGCAGAATTGGCACATAGTCCACTTCAACCTGCTTGAAAACCTTCGAATTCTATCCAGAAGATTTTTGTCAGCACTGCGATACATATGTATACCATCTCCAATATCCATCAAAGCAAGTGACATGTGCACAAACTTACCTTCAATATGTAGAAAGCAATGTAAGCAAACGGGCTGACAATGTCAACGTAAAGGGTAATTTTCGGCTGAGACATGGTTGGCCGTGTTATTCTCCCAATCGGGGAATAGAACAGAGGGATTACTGATCTGGAGTGGAGATACGACCGGGGTGGCCTTTGTATGTTGTTCGTGAGGAGTCGATAGCGGCGATCTCATAGCCGACTGCCTTAACCGAGGCACAGTCGGCGCCTGTCTTTGACGCAGGCGTCCGGTTCGAGAGCTTTGAGACATGATTTTTTCTTCTACAATCTCATTATGGTATGTTCATAGTTAACGCTCTGCATCACGAGTGTTCGTCGTTAGCGTCATGCATGGAATGTTGTCAAGCGTCGTACAATGTGAAACCCTCCTCCATGCCACAACTTGAAGTCCAGAAAGATGAAATAAAGAGATGCAAGACAAGCTACCCTTGGGCTGTTCATATTCATCTCTACACACACATACACCTTCCACGATAGCCAAATCCACCCAGCAGAAACAGAAACAAGCCCTTACCACATGATCCCCTTCCACTCAAACGCCCCATCAATGTTCCTCCACTTACCCTCCCGCACCGCACTTCCCCACCCCATCATAACAGCCAACAATCTACAACTGGTGCTACTAACCGTACAAACTACCGTATCTGCCTTGCCCAACACGCTCAGATCAAGCAAATACGCGCGCCCAACAAGTTCCCTTAGTTTCATCGCGCTCTCAGGAGCAGCAACCTTATCGTCATTAACCTTCTTCAGGTCCTCAGCGTTACCAACGGGTTGCCCCAGGGAAAAGAAGACGTCGCGGTAAAATCCGCCTTCCCATCCGGTGATCTCATCGATCCAAGTGTTTTTCTTCGGCTGCGATTGGGCGGCTTCGAGGGCGGCTTTTGTGGCGAGGACGATGCGGTCTTGGGCGCGGATGCTGTTTGGGCCTAGCTCGGGGGAGTCGTAGACGAGGGGGTCGTCGGAGGCGAGGATCATTTTGGAGGTTGTGTGGCGGGGGACTAAGGGGTCCGTTGATGAGGAGAAGGGGGAGGAGAGCAGATTCCGCTTGGCTTTCTTCTTAAGCCCACCTTCGACGAGGTCGATGTAGAGGTCGCGGGCTGTGTCAACGTAGCGGGCCAGGGGGATGTAGTCTTTTTGGTATTGGTATTCCATGGGGTGTTTGTCGCCGTGGCGGACGTGCATGGCGATGCTGAGGCCGCCCTCGCTCTTGACTTCTCCGTACATGTCTAGCGCTCGTTGGAGAACGTAGGCTTCATCATCTGAGCGGAGTTTGAAGAGGGCTTCGTAGCCGGTTCGGGCGAGGTTGAAGATTTTTGATTGACGTTGAACGCCCATCTTTGTTGGGTCTTCCCACTCGTCTGTGAAGGAGTGACCGAAGGTAGATTTTAGCGTCGCTCCGCTGACGACGATGTGGCGGGCGGTGTGAGGGCATGGGACAATGTGGGAGGGAGGAGGCGGAAGGCAATTGGCGGAGGGTGGAGGTTGAAAGTAAGAGGAGTACTTGCCATAAGGCCTGATAGTGGTGTCAGTATCTAGCAGCAGATAGTTGGGTATTGGGAGACATACCAACGAGTGTCGTCAACGAAGAAGGCGCGCTTCTCAGCTTTCGCCAAACCATACGACATCCACAAACGCATCAGCGTGTTGCCAAAGCCTGCATCTTCCGTTTCCATAACATATGTCAAGGTCCTGTCACAGACCTTGAGTCCTTCCGTAGAGATACCATCCTTGATAGCCTCGTCCTCAACAAAGCCTTTCGGTCTTCCTGTAGCCTTGGTTGATGGCAACAGACCTTGTTGTTCCGCTTCTTGGACATCAATATAATACTGATCTTGCTGGTAGTAGTTCAACATTCTCTTGGCAAAGCCAGCCGAAGCCTTTGCTTCCTGACTAATCTCCTTGGACACTTCCATAGACTGATGGCATATATCACGGTACTGTGCCGGACGAAGTGGAAACTCGTAGTCGGATGGTATCGATACAGTCCACCTCATCTTTCCCTTGGCATCCTGGAGCGCAAGAGCAACAGGCTCGTGTGGCAACTGACTGCCACCAACCATCTCCCATTCTTCATCACTGCCATCCTCATAAGTGGCCGCTCCCTGCGAGTTTGCGTAAATCTGCCTCAGCACAATCCAGAGTAAGAACGCTACTCCACAGCACCCTATCAGTATCCGCTTCACCAACTTCGAATGACTCGGCTGTGTAGTCTTCTTGCCATGCTTCGGCAGCAGACTAGGAAGGCTCGGGCTCGGCGGCGGGGATCTCGCAAGCAGTCCACGTCTCGAAGGAACCGTAGGAGAGAGGAAAGCACTCGAGGTAGCAGACTGGGGTGGCGGGCTTAGTTGTGAGTAGTGTGCTGTCGCCTGTATAGACAGGTTCGATTCCGTCTAACATGCATCTTGGAGAACTTCTTCGCAGCCTGGTTCAGCATGTCGAATGTCAAAGACTTGGTGGACTGAAGTGATCGGCGTACTCGTTATCAGCGTTCGTGTAGAAGGACAATGTAGGGTATCGGCCAAGTCGGGCGGCTTTCTGCAGTATACGGTACTACTGTGATGACGAAGCTGTAACGCCCGTATATGCAGGTAGGGAAACGTCACCTCTGACCCTGCAGAGAACGCTCCAACAAGCAAGTAAAGATGTAATAGTAGTCAAAGGAGGGGACGTAGGCACCGCCTATCAAACAAGCAAGACAAGTTGGAAAAAAAAAAGTACAAGAATGTATAACTCAATCCCCTGTTTCCCCGAGATACTAATCAAAGGGAGAAGGAGAAGAGAGCCGTCCAAGAAGCCATTCAAAAGGGCGGGCAAACCTTAGGTGTATCTTGAAAGAGGGCCCCTCCTGGCGCGAGACGAGTTTCACAACCAGAAACAATCCGATGTCCGAGCAGGATCCCGCAGTGAAATGATCTCCATCAAGGAGCGCCCGAGTCCCTTACAAAACGGAATAGGCCAGTAAGCGACGATTCAAGAAGCGCTGCAGAGACCAAGACAGGATCGAAGGTAAGATTGCGTGAGATCGCACTTGCTTGATCCAGGAAGGTTGCAACGAGGATGCGGAAGGCGCAGGAGGGGACCTCATTTTGTCGTATGTGCACGGGCCAGGGTGTCGTTGTTTCAGAAGTGCCTTCTAGTGCAACGTTGACGCACTGCTCCGGCGCTAAACGCAGTCGATGCTAGAGTCGAGTAGCCAAAACCACATGACAGTGACACCACTAGTTGCTTACACCAATGGCGGCTTGGGATCTTTGCAAATGTAAGCTGATTCGCTTGCTGCCAGTTTGGACTAGAGGGCACATAGTCAGATGTACAGGCAAATATATTAAGGGAAGTTTACTATTTAGAACGTCATGCAGGACATGCAGTAAGACTGCACCTGGCGATCGACATTAAAATCCCGAGGCACGGCAAGTAAGCTCCGCCGTGCCGTATAGCTCGTACTATATACAGCCTCGGAGTACATATCTGTAAATTGCCAACGTGTTAGCGCTTTGAATCTTACAAAGACAAGCTCACGAATAGCGAGACGGCACTTATCGTATTGCGCGTTCGTCTCATGAACCATAGGCGATAGCTAATTGTTTTGCTTTGATCGAAGATGCACATGTTAGGACGGCATGTTGGAACCCGATTGCAGAACACATGTCATCGAGACAAGTATAGAAGCTATTCTTCATAGCTCCCATATCGTATTCGCAAACAACAAAAGATTCGAGAAAAGCTATATAAAGGGGGGTATCAGATCGAAAGTCCCTCGGCACAGGAAAGGTGAAGAAACAAAAAAGTGGTAGTGTTACAAAATCCTTCCAGGCCGCATCGCAATGTGACTAAACAAGCAGCAGAAAAGCCGCCCCCTTCAATAACCCATGTGCGTAACACAATCCTGTACGCTATTTGCCGAATTTTCCATCCAGTCCTATTCCTGGTGGCCAATCATTACTCCATTTCTCCATATAAACGCCTGTCGCTAATGTGTGTATCCTCGTAATTGAGGATGTGTTTGCTGAAAGAGAGAAAGGAAAGTGGAAGTACTGTGCCCCGCGCGCCCCTCGTTGTTGACGTTCTTGCTTCATCCTCATTACCGTACTTCGTTTCATCCTGATTAAACTGATTCGTTTGTTCGCTCAAGCAAGATTCACAGCTAACTCTCGCCACCCTCTGCGTTGGGCAAAATCATGGTCCTTCGGTAACCGGCCTAAGACTGCTTCGCCTTGCAGTCTTCTCAACGCGACCGGTGATCATCTCGTCGAGCATACGCGTCATCTCTTCGATGTTCTTGGTTGAGCCATTGGTAGCTGGAGGAGGTAGAAAGGGAGTCTTTACACTGAGTGCAGGCGATGTTGGACCTTTCGGCAAGCTGATCCCACTGCCGTCACTGCCGCTGCGTTGATAATATGACGTGCGCCGGCTTCCTGGTGATTCACTACCCATCTCGTGTGCGTTGTCATTCTTCTTGCGAGCTGACGTGAGGGCGCCAATCATACGCTCCTTGTCCTCTAGTTGTGCGCGCAGGTTGACTATCTCGTTGTCTCTTTCGGCAAGGGCTGCAATCATGCCACCCTCCTCGCTGTTTGTGAGCTTGTGCGACAACGACAGGGAGACACGAGAATGACTGGACCGCCGGGCGTGCAACAGGCGCTTCTCAAGGGTAGCGATGTAACGGTTCTTATCCGCAAGATCAGCTTGTAGTGCTTGGATCTGCACTGTCTGACTTGCAATGCCGTCGCCATTCTCCCCAACCGAGTCGTCTTCCTCGGAGCCGTCCATGTGAAGGTGCGGTGTGCTTTGTCTTTTACCTGGAACTTCGAGCGTGGCATGGCTTGCGGAGGAGCGTATAGAGCTTGGGCGCATGTCGTGGTGGTTATTGCTCATGACGGAGCCGCGCTGGAAGCTCATTGAAGAGAAGGATCGGCCATTGTTCACACCGAGAGACTTGGAACTCAAAATTAGCCTGTTGAGATGTTCGATACGCTCCTTCAGGGCGGTTCGGGCTAGTTGCATCTCAAGCATCTGTTCTTCGTGCCGTTGCCTGTCTTCCAGTTCGCGCGCTTTCTCTTCCTCCTTGTCTCTTTTCAGCTCGTCATCTTCTTCTTCCTTGGGCTCCTTATTTTTGCCTTCCGCAAGCTGCTTCTTTAGTTCCTCAATCTCTAGGCGGTAGCGATCCAGAAGCGCTCGACTTCCAGCGTCTCCACCAGCACCCATAGACTCGTCGGCTTTCTTGGCGTGGCTGACAATGTTGTTCTTGGCTCGGGAGGCGAACTTGAGCGTATTCAGTGTCTCACCCGTGTGACTGTTTACGGCAGCAGGACTCCCACTTGCTCCGATCTGGATTGTACAGAGAATGCTGACCAGTGAGTTACCAGAGAGAGCGGGTTGAAGAAGTCGGGTGAGCTTGCTGTCTCGGTATGGCAAATGCTTATCGCCCTTGCCCTTGTCCTTCTCAGACTTGTCCTTGTCGGAAGCTAACCGTCCAATGACTGTACCCAAAGTAAGCAAACTCTTGTTGATGTGGGAGCCCTCAGTTCGTCTTTCTTTGTTATCGGCAGCCTTTTCAGAACCAGCCAAATCGATCAAACTGAGCGTCGAAACACGAACACCACCAGGGACAATGGCTGATCGTTTGTCACCGCTCATTGCCGGGCCGGGAGCGCGCTCTCTGCTTTCGACAACAATCTGGACCACAGCGTGACTGCGGGAACTGCGCGCATTGAACTGGGTACCCGCCACCTTTCTTGAGTTGTCACCTCGGGCAATGACCCTCAAGAGTTGCGTCGGACTCTGCACGATTTCTTCCTTCAGTGGCGACGCATAGACACCCCGTTTGCTGTCCTCGCGCAGCTTGATCTCTTCGACGGGCCCGGTCTGGCCATTCATGCCTACAACAGGTCCTGCCAGCAGATCGATAATCTTTTCGTTGTAGATTTCAATGTAGCTGACTCTCAGGAGAAACTCTCGCTGAGGCGTCTCGCGGATGTAGGAGAAGATGTCAGTGATAGCGAGTGGTATGACACCAGGATTCGTTGCAGTTCCTTGCATAGAAAACGTCTTGCCGGTTCCAGTCATGCCGTAAGCAAAGACGGTGCCGTGGTAGCCCTCCATGACCCTCCGGACAAGTCGTTTGGCTGCAGCATCGTATACGCGGGCGTTGTTGTCTTGGGTGTCGAATACGTTGTCTAAGTCAGACCAAGTTAGCTCCAGCTCAATCACCCTCCGCCCCGTTGTGCAACTATACCATATATGTAGTCCCCACCCTCCTTGCCCTTGTAGGCTATCAATGCGCGCTTGTTGTTGACTTCCCACTCCAGGTCATGTTTATTATCCTTGGCCCCAGCATCAGGCCTTACTCGGACGCTCACAATGACGTTGCCTTTGCCGTCCTTGTGTCCCTTGCCATCTGCGCGTCCGTCCTCTCCGTCCTCGAATGTGGTTGCGCTGGTTGCGTACGAGCCCTGGGGCGAAGAGTTGCGACTCTGCGGTGGTGAGGGAGACTGAGATGGGCCGTCTCTACTGTGACAGAATCCGCGCTTCCGTTGAGTAAACTTGGAGGCGACAGAGGTGATTTTGGCAGCAAGCCTCGCGCTCCTCCAATGTTGGAGCTTCGTGGCTTCTTGAGGCTATTATTCCGAGAAGGCGTTTGACCTTTGGATATGGATGACACTCTCCGATCGACCATGTCTCCGCCAGGCGTCGAACTCGTCGACAGCGGACTAGTTGGATTTGACCTCCCCCCATGTCTGGGTGGTTGTGGAAAGGAACCGATGCTGACTGTCTTGCGCAGCGACTTTCCAACGGGCAGCGATCCGGCAGAACCAGCTTCGGGTGGGAACGACGGCACCGACGGCGATGTGAGGTGCTTGGAAGTCGGTCTGTAGGGCAGCGAAGACGAAGATACAGCGCGTGTATTGGCAGCACCCGGGAGCAACGAGTTTCGTGTTGTCGGACCGACATTGGAGCTTCTGTGCTTTGGAACGGGCAGCGAGGGCAAGGGTCCCGTTGGAGGAGCAATCGACGGTCGCGACGGGCGAGGCAGCGAGTTGACCGACATTGTGATGGGGGTGGCGCGTATGTACGAATGCTACTGCAGGCTGGAAGGGTGCTGGCGCTGTAGTGTTTGGCCCGATTGCCTTTGTTTTTTCCAAGTGGCCTATGCTACAGTGCACATGTCCGGCGCAGCCTTCCAGTAGTCGTGACCAGAACTCGAACAGGCTGGGGAAGCTGGAAAAGCTGGCTGTGTATGCGGGGGAGAGATACAGCCTTTGTTGGATATGCGTCAGCCTTGGACAGGCAGGGACCTGGATGCGGCGGGAAGCAAGCGCGAAATGTAATGTAGCGGAGACGGGTAGGTGCAGTGGATACTGCCGATTGACGTAAGGGCTTGGAGCCACTCTAGCAATCGTCGGGGGTGCGTGAAGGGGGTCGGAGGCGGAAGCGAGAGTGAAGATGCGATGCGAGAGCACTCAGGGTCTAATCTCTCAGCGTGAAGTCGGCAAACAGTGTGTTGGCGTGGTGGGGAAAAAGGAGCGGCGATGGGATGGATGGTAGGTTGTGGTGGCCGCCGAAAAGCCCAAGCGTGGGTATCCCCTGGGACTCGGTGCATGCGCAGGGGCCCGAGAAAGGAACGACCGACGAAAACTCCGTGCAAAGCAAAGAACGGGTGGGAGGCGTCTTCTTACACTTCACAGTCGTGCCGTGTGGAGACGGCGAAGAAATCACAGGCAGGACCCTCTTTCGACCCTGGGAAAGGATGGAAAAGGGGTACAATACTCAACTCGTGGTGGGTTGACCTTCTTCCCCCCATGTTGCCTCTACGCACCAAAGACGTTAGCCCCACGCCAGCCTCAGTCCAAGCGTACATATCCGCACCCACAGCTGCTATCTGCAGACCCTTGCCCTGCCCTGTTCGCGTAGCATTCCGGCTATATGCCATCATCCTATGGCAGAAGTCCTTTGACGACCTTTGCCTTGTCCTTTGCGCGCCATTTGGCTTTGCACCAGCGGGCATTACGCACACTACTACTCTGTCTGAATCTCACGGCTTATCTGGTAGCGACGTTTCCGTAGTGACGGCTTGCGTCGACGGTATTTGTAAAGCCCCAGAGACGATCCCTTGCTGATCCGCCCCTGCACAGGCAATCATGCCGACCATCCTTCGCTTCTCTGCCCCTGCGGCATGCCATTGCTCTACCACAGAACTATTCGCAATCTCCGTGTCACAAAGCTTTTGTTGACCAAACCTCGATGTCGCATCTCGCTCCCCCAATCAGTCTCGGTAGTTGCATTGCATCGCGCCAGCCTCGTGAGACGAACGCGTTGGCGCTGGCGGGAAGAGCGCCACATTGCACGTGCTGCCGCCTTTGCCTTCCGAGCCACTATGTCTTGCAAACGTCTGCCGGCAATCTTCCTCTATGCGTATGCCCCAACAACACACATCATCGATCCGCTCCAACGTCTACTGTATCGAGTGGGCTCGTGACCAAGTATGCCCGATCGCCGTGACCAACCAAAAGCCAACCCACTGGAATCGCGGGGAGGCCGCTGTGCACTGCTCACTGCTTCTTCTTCTTCGGAGCATTATCCATGCCGGCACTCGAGTCTAGTTGCTCGTGAAACGTGCAAAGGCGCCACTCTAAGGCCACTGCATCGGGTGTTGCCGAACACATAGACATCAGCGACGAGCGAACGTGTCCCACCTGGGTGGTAAGTGCAATGCAAGAGCATGTTACGAAGCGAGTGGTTCGCTTATAGTGTACCCCATCCGAAGACACTCTGCCCAAACTTTGTGATGGCCAGATATTGCAGTCCCCACAAGCCAAGATCGATAGATAATTCCAATGCACCACAGAGCGCTACGCGTGAGAGCTGGTTACCAATGTTCTGCCAGCTTACATCGTTGTGGAGTCCCAGTGGACCTACAACGCGATACGACCCCGCATACCCGCCTTGGTTGGCCAGATAGTGTGAAGCAATCGCTCGCAAAGTGACCATCCTAAACGGAAGCATGGCAAGACCGACAAGCTGAGCTCTCACCATTGCACTGATCATCTGTGCAGGCTCACACGAGAGTTGAGTGACGCGGTGGTATACATGGCCGGCTGTTGAGCGTGCTCGGTTCCGCGACTCAGCGGCTGCATCCTCTCGCGAGGAACCCGAGGCTTCTGCGACGTCCGTGTGAGTGGAAAGTATTCTAGGCGGTAAACGCACTTCCATTTCTACGATACCTTCCCTTGAAGTGATGCGTATCCGAGGGTCGTTCTCGTTTTGCTCTGATTCTGTTGGTGATCCTGGTGGAGTCGTGGATCGTATCAAATCCTGGAACGCATCTATTGGAATTGTGATTACATCTGCATCGAGCGGCTCTGTAGCAGGCTGATCTTGGGGCTGGAGGGTGGGAAGATTCAGTGGGGTAGCGTTGGTAACCTGAGTACTACCGACTTGCATTATCTCGCCGTCATTTGGAGTAATTGTGGTTGCAAGCTCGATAGTCCGCTTCCGTTGCGTGTTCGGCGGCGAACTCGGTAGCGCCCAGCCGAGCATTGCAAGTAGCCTGTGAATGGCATTGCGAATCAGAAGTGGTGACTCCCGTCGCAGCCCAAGAACGGTCAAAGCACGGTCTTTCCCATTGGCGTCTCGACTGGGTATGTCGGGCTTGTCAGGACGGATGATGGCTGTCTCGACTGCTTCATAGACACAAGCGTAGATCCAGCGTTCGATTGAGTGTTCAGCACATAAAGAATAACGGGCGAAGCCAGTACTGCTCCAATACAGTCCGTGATGGAGTTGAAGGCATTGTATTGCAAGGAGGATGGCAGTAGAGGCGATGAGCTTGAGTAGGGAATGAGACTTGTCCAGGTTGGCAGCAGTGGGCGAGCGGGGACCAGCCCAAGGCGTTGCAAAGCGGCGTGGTAGAAGAACGGGTAGAACAGAACCTCAAGGCCCAAGCGAAAACTGAGCCGGTTAGTAAGGACCAGAAAGGTACATGTGCGGCCTACCTAGATTTGATGACTGTCTTGGCTCGTCGGAACAAGTTCCGTGTCTTTGCGCTTGCACGTGTTGCATACAGCAAACGCTCCACGGGTTGATAGACAAAGGTGCTATACACGATCGCTTGGGTGTTCATGGTCGCAAACACGCGGGGGGCGAAGCCAGCATAGACCATCGAAGCGCCAGAGAAGGCATGCTCGGAAGCCGCGATCTGGCCAAAGGTGAGGACATGGGGATAGCGAAATGTCTGCCCAGGTTAGTGTTGCCCATGAAAGACAAATGGCATGAAGCTACCAGAATCCTCTCCCTGATGGTGCCTACCCACCACGTACACAGATTCTCCGTAAGCGTGGTAACCAATGCCATGGCATTTCCAACTGTATCCTCAGCCTCGAGCAGCTCGAGGCGCTCTTCACTGGGTCCCGGAAACCCCTCAGCAGGAGAGTGTCTCCTCTCGACTACGCCGACGGATGCCAGCACATCGTTCTGAGCGCCTCTAAGCTTCTTGCCATATTGGTGGGAGCGGGGGTTGATGGGGTTGCCGCGTTCGTCGTAGAGCTGCACGTAGTTGTTGGCCGTGGCCTCGTGGTAACGCCGTGGGATTTCAGCTTGCGACGACTCAAGTTGAACGTATTCTGTCGACTGCGAGGCGGATTGTGTGGGCTCAAAGGCCGACCGTCCCTGGCAGGCATGTTAGACATCTACTGGAGCATTGCACTGGCGGGGTCTATACGAATGCGATCTTGTCCAGATAAGCTTGTCGGCCCATGATGGTGGTGACAAAGTCCGGCTTTCATCAGGTACAGGCAATAGTAAAAAGAGATTGCATCTTGGCAATAGTGCTATCCAAGTGAGGGTTCAGTGAATGCACGCATGCATGCTTCAGAAGTCGAGTTGGCGGCCGAGGGAGACAGACGCGCTGACGTTTGGCGCCAGCGCGTGGTTGCGACTCGCCTTATCGATAAACTTTTTCCTGCAGCACTTTGCGACTTCCCTCGCAGCCCGGCAGAGACCCGACGCTACCAACTCTGCAATCCAACATGTCGGCGCAAAGAGCTGCAGTCAAGACTACATACGAGGTTGGTCGTACCCTGCAGCCAATCTACTCAGGAGGAAGCTTAGCCCTCAGCGAAGACGGGCGCATTCTGGCCGCGAGCTTGGGTGAAGATGTCCTTCTTTCTGACCTCACCAATGGGCAAGAGCTAGGGAGGGTCGAGGGAGACGGCGAGGCCATCACGGCTCTAACCCTAACCCCGTCCGCATCGCATCTTGTAGTATGCTCGCGATCGCTTTCCATGCGCTTTTTCGCCCTCAAGCCTTCCGATACCGACGACGAAACTTTCCAACTCGAACTTGTTCGGACATTGCGGCCGCACACATCTCCTGTAGTCACGTTAGCGACAGACCGTACGGGAACACTGGTGGCAACTGGAGGCGCAGACGGTGTGGTCAAGATTTGGGACATTGTCGGTGGCTACACGACACATACTTTCCACGGCCATGGTGGAGTTGTCTCGGCGCTGCACTTCTTCGAGGTAGAGGTAGCTGAGCGCGACGATGCATCCGAGAACAAAAAAAAGAGGAAAAGGAAGTCACGGCAAGAAGGCGCTGAGTTGGACCACGCCCAGGGCGAGAGTCAGATACAGTTCCGACTGGCGTCTGGTGCCGAAGATGGCAAGATACGGATATGGGATCTGCACAAGAGAAAGAGCGCCGCTGTCCTCGACTCGCATGTCTCCGTCGTTCGCTCGTTACAGTACTCGCCGCAAGAGAAGGTCCTTCTGTCTGGCAGCAGAGACAAGACGTTGATTGTCTGGGACTCACACAAGTGGAAGGCGCAACGCACTATTGCTGCCCTAGAGGGCATCGAGAGCGCAGGCTTCATCGCAGACGGGAAGATCTTATACTCTGGCGGAGAGAACGGCCGACTACGACTCTGGTCAGCGTCCAGCGGAAGAGAGCTCACCCGAGACCAAGCGCCTGGAATCGAGACGGACGAGATTGTCAACATCCTCTACTATCCTTCGTTACCCTACTTGATCTCGGTGCATGCCGACCAAGTACTCAACTTCTACTCCCTCAAATCAGCCCAGTCACTCGTCGTCGAAGAGACCATCGACCCGCTACCCATCTTCCGCCGCGTTTCCGGAACACACGATGAGGTTATCGATATCGCCTACGTCGGCCGAGACAAGACTCTACTAGCACTTAACACCAATTCAGAGGACATCCGGATAATCACGCTAAACGAATCCGACGCAGAAGACGCGACCGAAGGCAGATACTTTGGTGCGGATGTGGGGTTGCTGAAAGGACACGAAGACATCGTCATCTGTCTCGACGTAGATTGGTCAGGTCACTGGCTTGTTACAGGTGCTAAAGACAACACAGCACGGTTATGGCGTCTCGACCCAGCCAACGAGTCGTATACCTGTGCTGCAGTCCTCACCGGCCATGCGGAGTCGCTCGGAGCGATTGCATTGCCACACACAATACCCCAAGAATCATCAGCCGCATTTACCGACCCCTTGTCACATCCACCCGCGTATATCGTGACCGGCTCTCAAGATCGGACGGTCAAGCGTTGGGATACTACGAAAGAGATGAAGGGCAAACTGCGAGCCAAGTACACCCGCAAAGCACACGACAAAGACATCAACGCCATCGACATCGATCCCTCTGGAACCCTTTTTGCATCCGCATCGCAGGATCGTACCATCAAGATCTATTCGGCAGCAGAAGGAGAGGCTATCGGTGTCCTTCGAGGTCACAAACGTGGTGTATGGTCGGTCAAATTTGCACCCAAAGACTCGCAAGCGCCAAACTCGGGAAACAAGGGCTTGATCGCAACAGGCAGCGGAGATAAGACGGTCAAAATCTGGAGCCTAGCAGACTACAGCTGTTTGCTCACGCTAGAAGGCCACTCGAACAGTGTCCTGAAGCTGTCGTGGTTGCCCTACCGACCCGTCGACGCACGGGATAAGCGCGGTCCACAGATAGCTTCTGCAGCTGGTGATGGACTTGTCAAGATCTGGGATACAGTGTCCGGGGAGGCCATGTCTACACTTGACAACCACACTGATCGTGTATGGGCACTTGTCGCACACCCAACAACCGGCGCTTTGGTGTCTGGTGGTGGAGATAGCGTCATCACATTTTGGGAAGACACGACAAGCACCACGCTGGAAGCTGCCACGACAGCGGAAACAGAACGCGTTGAACTGGATCAAAAGCTACAAAACTACACCTACGCTGGCAACTACCGCGAGGCTATCGTCCTTGCACTTCAAATGGACCAACCGGCCCGTCTCTTCTCCCTCTTCAAATCCGTAGTAGAAACGGAGAATCCGGATACAGACAGTCTCTCAGGCCTCATCACTGTAGACGAAGTCCTTGGCTCTCTGGCAGACGAACAGCTATACAAACTGCTCATCCGCCTCCGTGACTGGAACACCAATGTCCGTACCGCGCCCATCGCTCAGAAGATTCTATGGACTATTGTCAAGTCGTACCCAGCTTCTCGCCTAGCTAGTCTGAGGCCGCAAGGAAAGGTTGGCGCAAAGGGTAGTCTGAAGGATGTGCTAGATGCTATCAAGGTGTACTCTGAGAGGCATTATAAGCGAGTAGAGGAGTTGGTTGATGAGAGTTATTTGTTAGACTTTACTCTCAAGGAAATGGACGAGGTTGCTGGTGAGGTCAAGGCTATCACAAACGGCACGTCGCAGTTGGGTCTTGAGAGGGATGTCGTAATGGTTGATTAAAGACGCTGCGTTGAAAGGGTTGATTGTAGTACTGATGCCATGGCGAGTAGCTGTGTTATAGTATACTCGATGTAAATACCACATTTGACAATATCAAGTTTCTTCTTCTGTTATGCTGCAAGGTTAGGGGTACAATCCTGTCTTGAATATTCGGAGATGCTTGTTGATCAAGTTCGTAAAGTCGAAGAATGGATACCATGTCTTCAATCTTGGTTCACGGGTAGAAGATCCGAACGGAATTGAGAGCACTTCACTAGTCATTGCAGGAAAAGTATGAGAGAGAACATCAAGAAGGCGATACGATGCTGGACATGTGCAGGAAACTCATCGAATCGATTCCAGAAAAGGTATCTTCCCAAACATACTCCTTGAACTACTCATACAAGACCCCTTGTTCCTCTATCTACCTCCCCTTTGGTTTCTGCCCCTTCTCCTCTCCCAGACCATCAGATATGCTTCCTTGGTAAACAGCGTCTCGCCTCTCCTTCTCGACGTACAGATCTTGAATACCATACCACTCCTCCCTCGCTCGGTCTTTAACCTGCACTCTCCAAACCTTGCTCTCCTGTTCACCCTCGACACTATCATCCTTCTTCTTGACCGCCTCGTGGGTGATGTTGGCCACGAGATCATACCAGATAGGCTCGCCAGGTGGGTATTCTTTCGGGTTTGGCTCGACATAGGGTGACATGTCGAGGGAGTGAACAGGGAAGGTGACGATGGTCGGGTTGCGTTCCGAGACGAATTTGTTCTTAGAGAAGCGCTTGATGTTGAAGAGGAGGTAAGGGGGCAAGGGGTGTAGGAGGCGGTAGCGAACGCGATTCTTCGACTTCTCTTGTGGAGTCACACCGTTGTATTTTGAGAGGATGTTGACGAGAGGGACTTGTGGGATGATGTTCTTTTCCAGTGCGTCTTGAAATAGAGGGGCTGCGGGTAGGTCAAGGGTTAGCACGAGGAAACGGGATATCTCGGTTTGGACAGCTGCGTCTTCGAAACGGAGGCGGTCGCCTGCATCTGCACGAGCGGTGATTTCTTGTTGCTCAATTTTCAGTGTGCCCTGGAATACTTTCTGGATTATGCTGCTGTTGGGTTTTGTTCGCGAGCCGCCGACTGCTAGGTGGAGGTTGTTGAGGAACCATGAGAGGAAGTCGACGGGATCTGACTGGTCGGAGAGAGTAAAACGTTTCGACGATCGAAGAGCAATCTCTTGGAGGAGTTCATGGGGCGAGACGTGAGTTTTGAAGGCCCGTGGGTTCCAAATCTTGCGGACAAGTGTGCTAAAGCGCTGTGCGAGCTGTGGTCGAGTTGACAGATCTTCCAGCATGAAATAGTTCCGCAAGGGGGCAACATGAGAGAGGGCTTGTATCACAACGTTGAAGTAGTCGTTCGCTTTGATGTTGTTCATGCCGACGAAACCTGGAATATACTCTCGGTTAGAGAGGTCCCACGACACTTTGGGCTCTTTGTCCAGCTTTGCGACCTCCTCTTTGCTCATGCGTGGATCCACAACGAACTTGATATCATCCAACGACTTGGACGTCACCTCATAGCCTTCGGGGAGAACATAGACCTTCTTTGTCTCCATGTTGACGTATACGTGGTGACCCTCTTCCAGCGCATGGAAGTATGCTTGTGATTTTGGACCGCGACCTTGGTAGTATTTCCCGCATACGAGACAGGCGTAGACGTTGATGTTGGAGAGGGTGACGGAACATAGTTTCTCAAAGTCGAAATCGAGGACTTTGCGATTTATCGTGTCAAGATATAGGTCTGTGTATCCAGCTTCTGGAGCCGTCTGACGTTTCGGCGCAGCGATTGCGGGCTCGTCATCGTCGTCGTCGTCGTCGTCGTCGTCGTCTAATGCGCCGGCTTCCACAAGCTCCGCATGCTCCTCCTCGTATGCGCCTGCGATGTCTACTTTGTCCCGGTCTTGCTCGCGCGGAGACATGAGATGACTATTGCTAGTCGCGCCATTGGCCTGAGGGCTTTCCATCTCTTCGTCTTCGACCCTGGCGCGCTTTGGTGCTGGAGAAGGCGCGTCGTAGACTTCCTCGAGCGGTTCCAGCGCCGGTCGCTTCGACATTGTGCGCGGGGAAAAGTGTTGTGACGATTCGAGAGTGAGCGGCAGCAGGGAGGAGCTACGTGTCCAGGTTTATAGCAGATTTCCAGGGAATTGCGGTTGTGAAGCAACAAAAGTTGTAGGCATCCAAAAGGTCACGGGCTCCGGTGGAACCATTGGCCGGGGAAGCTTCGCGCAAACACCGCAAACACAGCTTCAACGCGGGCAGGCCGAGAAAAAAGTCGCGTTCAGGCACCACAAGCCAACAACCCCACACCTTCCGAGATACCCCTCTTTGCCTGTTTACAAGTGATTTCAAGATGGTATATCGCACGCCTCACTGCGAGAATAGCAAAAGTACTAACTTCTACGCAGTCAAACCCCACCCAGATCTTTGCGGAGGATGTCACAGAGGAGAAGGGCGAGAATGCGCGTCTCTCAGCCTTCGTAGGAGCCATCGCCGTCGGAGATTTGGTCAAGAGCACACTGGGCCCCAAGGGCATGGACAAGATATTACAGTCTGCGTAGGTGCACTTTGCCCCACTACGTGTATACTTGAGCTCACATGTCCCAAGTTCGACCGGCGAGATCATGGTCACAAACGACGGCGCTACCATCCTCAAAGCGATTGCCCTCGACAACGCCGCTGCCAAGGTCCTGGTCAACATCTCAAAAGTCCAAGATGACGAAGTCGGCGACGGAACCACATCAGTCACTGTCCTTGCCGCCGAACTGCTGCGAGAGGCCGAGAAGCTGGTCGACCAGAAGATCCACCCTCAGACCATCATCGAAGGCTACAGGATAGCGAGTTCTGCGGCTCTCAAGGCGCTGGAGAAGATCGCCGTGGACCACAGCAGCGACGAGCAGGCTTTCAGGAAGGATCTCGAGGCCATCGCCCGAACAACCCTGAGCTCAAAGGTGCTCTCGCAGGACCGACAGCAGTTTGCCAAACTCGCCGTCGACGCCGTCCTCAAGCTTGGTGGATCGACCGACCTCACGCACATCCAGATCATCAAGAAGGCTGGTGGAAAGCTGAAGGACTCATACCTGGACGAGGGCTTCATCCTAGACAAGAAGTTCGGTGTGAACCAGCCGAAGCGGATAGAAAACGCCAAAATTCTCGTTGCGAACACAGCCATGGACACGGACAAGATCAAGATCTTCGGCGCACGGGTCAAGGTTGATTCGACGGGCAAACTCGCTGAGCTAGAGAAGGCTGAGCGCGAGAAGATGAAGGCCAAGGTCGAGCGCATCAAGGCACACGGCATCAACTGTTTCGTCAACCGACAGCTCATCTATAACTGGCCAGAGCAACTCTTCGCGGATGCGGGCATCTGCTCCATCGAGCACGCCGACTTTGACGGCATCGAGCGCCTGGCCTTGGTCACTGGCGGAGAGATCACATCGACGTTCGACCACCCGGAGAACGTCAAGCTCGGCCACTGCGATCTAGTCGAAGAAGTCATTATCGGAGAGGATGTGTTGATCAGATTCTCGGGCATCAATGCTGGACGGGCATGCACCATCGTCCTCCGTGGTGCAACTGAGCAGCTTCTTGACGAGGCTGAGCGATCGCTACACGACGCACTTGCCGTTCTATCACAAACTATCAAGGAGCCAAGGACAACGCTAGGTGGCGGTTGCGCCGAGATGAACATGGCGAAGGCCGTAGCCGAGGCGGCACAAAACGTGGCTGGCAAGAAGGCCATTGCTGTCGAGTCCTTCTCCAAGGCGCTCCAACAACTACCCACCATCCTGGCCGATAACGCTGGTTTCGACTCAAGCGACCTGGTCACACGTCTCCGGAAAGCAGTCTACTCGGGCTTGACCAGCTCAGGCCTGGATCTGTTGTCCCCTGGAGGTGGCATTGCGGACATGAGGGAGCTAGGCGTCATTGAGAGCTACAAGCTGAAGCGCGCGGTGGTGTCGTCAGCGTCAGAGGCTGCGGAGGTAAGTTTACCCAATTCACTTGATTCGAGCATCGGACTAACATAACCCAGTTGCTGTTGCGAGTAGACAACATCATCCGAAGCGCACCGCGGAGACGTGAGCGCATGTAAGGGTGGGGCGAGCAAGCATGATGTCGCAAAGGATTCGACACTAGATAGAGTGTATACTACGGAAGACATCAATGTAGTAAGACGAGCACGATGCAGACTAACGTTCTCTTTTCGTCGTGTCACATGTTTGGCAGTGAGCGCGGGCGAACCACGTGATGCGCGTGCACGGGTCTCGCCTGTTCCGCATGTTACGCCTGCAAATGTCGGACTCGAGTGAAGTTGTGCGCCACGACGGGCTCGAGGCTATGATCAAGCATAGTCCGGAAAGCCATGTTGTATTTTGTCCATCGCCAGCAACCTGCCGCTGAGTAGATCAGGTCGCTACTGAAGTGCTCACATCATCTGTTTCATGTTGGTGTCTCGCCATCGCAGCGAATAGGTCCAAGGTAACGCCTCAGCACCCGAATAGGAATCTTGCACCTAGATTGTGGTACTTGCTGCAGGACAGCAGTCGGACTTGGTAACATTGAGATGGCGTGTCAGCGTCAGGATAGCTCACGCCAGATAGGTGCATGTTTCGATACCATGCGTTGCTGGGGCGGCGTGGCTAGTGTCGGATGCTCCCTTTCTGACTGTATCGTGGTGGGTAGAGTCAGAGACAGGCGATATCAAGCTCAACCACAACGATGGCAAGCACAGCCATGAAATCCATCATTTGGCCGTCTTGCCGGTACCTGCGTGGGTAGCGACACAACGGGGCAAAGGTTGGTGCTAAAACCAGGGAAACAGGCGAGCGTGTCGGGAAGCAGTTTAGTCGACGGGCTGGCTGACGAGGCCCCGGCGAGACCCCCAGTTTACGGCGCACGCTCAGCTGCGGCAGCCCCCGCAGGTTAATATCGAGGCCAAAATCACTGCCACGGGCATTCTTCCTCTCCTGCTCCATCCTCATCACCTCCCACTGATGCTCCATCACCCTCGCCCTCGCCGCCTTCGCTAGGCTTCCCACTCCATCGACGTACGACCCGCCATGCCGCGTCCGCGTCGGCCGCCCGGTGCCGGCTCGACGCTCACCACGCTCGCCTTTCTCATTATTACCCTTGTGGCAGCTCAGCAGCAGCACCCACTCGACCACCATGTCCGCAACACGTCTCCCCACGCCGAGGTGCACGTGGAGCCTGCACACATGATCCCACCCCACCACGGACAGCCCAGCCTCAAAGACACTGTAGGGGACGCCCACAGACGTCATCTCTACACGCCCTTGAACGACCAGAATGTGCGCGCCGTAGCTACCAAAGTTCCTTCTGCTCCAGCCATTAGTGCTGTCAGAGCCCATCCTGCCAGATACGCTGCCTCGGGAGGCCTCATCCCCAGTGCGCGTTCTCTGCAGGATTGGGAAGTTGAGGACTTTGTTCTTTTGGCGACCGTCGATGGCCACATACACGCACGCGACCGATATAACGGAGAAGAGATCTGGGAGCTGAGCGGACGGCCCATGTTGGAGACCATCTACAACGTCTCCGAGGACAAGATCGGCCCCCAGCATCAGCCCTTTGTATGGATTGTCGAGCCTAGGGAGGACGGAGCTCTCTATCTCCTCACCCCAGGCCCACACCCGCAACTCCAGCACCTGGGTGTCACGGTCAAGCAGTTAGCGGAAAGTGCCCCCTACTCCAGCGACGACCCGGAACTCCCGGTTGTCTACAATGTGGAAAAGAAGACATTCATGCTTCTCGTCGATGCTGCCTCGGGCATTGTCAAGCAGAGCTTCACTCCGGGCGGCAACTTCCCCTACGACGACAGTTGCGCCCCCGACTCGAAGAACTTCTTCAGCACCCGGGAACGCGATTGTCGTGGTATCATCGACATCGGACAGACCCAGTACACCATCACCATCCATAACAAGAAGACGAACGAGCACATCTGCACGCTGAAGTATGCAGAGTGGAACCCAAACAGCCGAGACAAGGATCTGCAGTCCCAGTATGACCAGACTCTTGATAAGCAGTACATCTATACCATGTACAACGGCGAAGTCATCGCCTTCGACTACAAGCGACCGAGATCGCACCAGCGTCCTCTCTACAGACAACGCCTGCCCTACCCAGTAGCACGTGTCTTCGACGTCGCTCGACCTCTGAACGACCAATCAAATGAGCCACCGCTCGTTTTACTCCCACAACCAGCCGGCCCCATCTTCTCGGAAGACAAAGCCAACCACGTCCTGCTCAACACGACCGAATCGGGGGCTTGGTACGCTCTATCAGAAGTCAATTACCCGGCAGTGACCGACGGTGCACCAGATGCAACTTGTTACAAGCAGAACCAAGTATCATACGAGTGGGACTCGGCCTACGTATTGCCGGATAGGAGCAGTCTCATCGGTGTTCACAGGCTGGACTATAGGATCCCTAGTCAGCAGGCACAGTTGCCGGGCATCGCCGCCACGACGTATTATCCAACCTTGAACGACCAGGTCGTGTCTAATCCGCCTGAGACATCGCCTCATGAGCAACACCAACCGCCAACCATCGACGCACCACCTCAGACACAGACGGTTAAAGCAATCATCACACTTTTTGTCTTTGTTCTTGCCGTTGCTGGCGCCTTGGGAGCTACTATGAAACCAACAGTACGCGAATCCTGCTTGAGCTATCTGAAGAGACTTTTGCGTTCAGGCAAGGCTAAGGTGCCACACACTCTAGTGTCAGCCTCTACCGAGCCGGAGGTCAAGCCTGTAGAAGAGGAGACTCTGCCCCTACCGGCCGACGAGGACGTTGTTTCTCAGAAGACAGTTGCAGAAACTGTAGCAAAGGCTGATATCGTCACACCTGTTGCAGAGGAAGTCAAGGAGAAGAAAGTGACTTTCGACGTCCCTGATGACGATGACGATGAACTTGCGCCTCTCTCGAGAACTACAACCGTTGAACGTAGCTCTTCTGTTGAAGACGAAACTGCCCTACCTGGCTCTACACTCAACACGGAGGCTCAGCCGATGACTAGCAGTATCGAAGACGTCTCGCAAGATTCATCCGCCGCGCCCTCGACTCCCAAGAAGAAGAAAGCACACCGGGGTAGACGTGGCGGGCGCAAACTCAGCAAGAACCAGCAAAAAGAGGAAGACGAGGTCAACCGTATTGTAGATGCAGCTAAGCAACTTGAGGTTGGGCCTCGCTTGCAACCCGATGAGCTTACTGTGAGCGGTGGCGACGTACAGAACATATCCGAGATCAAGCGAATTGGCAAGTTGACGATAGATCAAGATCGTCTTCTTGGAAACGGAAGTGGAGGAACGTTTGTCTTTGAGGGTAAATGGAAGGTACGTTGAATACATCAGCCTGTACGACCGATCATGTCGGTCGTTCAAGAATGACATGTTTCGCTCATTCTCGATAAGAGTCTTATACTAATCTTCATACAGGAAGTCAAGGTGGCTGTCAAGCGCATGCTACCGCAATACTTCGGACTCGCGGAGCAAGAGGTGAAGCTTCTACAGAACAGCGACCCCCACCCAAACGTCATCCGATACTTCGACGACGAGAGAGATGAAAACTTTCTCTACATCGCCGTCGAACTCTGCCAAGCCAGTTTGTTTGACCTCTACAAAGACGGTCGTCCAGGAGAGGAGCTATCCGAAAGCCACCAGCAGCTGGTGAACAAGATCAGCGGGAAAGCTGCATCTTGTTTGTACCAACTTGCCGCCGGACTGAACCATCTTCATCATCTTCGCATCATCCACCGCGACATCAAACCCCAAAACATACTGATCGCACAACCCTTGATCACTTCCAAGGATGATGTACGGCTGGTGATATCTGATTTCGGTCTCTGTAAGACGCTGCCCGATAACGTTAGTACCCTTGTCGGAACGACTGGTAACGCAGGCACCGTTGGTTGGAAAGCGCCTGAGCTTATCTCGCAACCGAAGGAGTTGGCCAACGGCAGCTCTCAGGGCTTTTCTCGCGATTCATCCAGCTCGACAGATCCAGTCGCGCAAGGCGTCAAGCGAGCCGTCGACATCTTCTCTCTCGGCTGCGTCTTTTACTATGTCCTCACCGGCGGTTGTCATCCCTTTGATGACGAAGAAGGCTGGATGCAGATTCGTGAATACAACATCAAGAAGGAGAAGTCCAACCTCGATCGCCTACTTCTCGGTGCTGATTCGGTGGAACCCCATCGTCTTATCCATTGGATGCTGCGACCCAGGCCCGAAGACCGCCCCAACGCCTTGCAAGTCATGAACCATCCTTTTTTCTGGGATGACCAGAAACGCCTTGATTTCTTGTGCGACTGCTCGGATCATTGGGAACGTGAACCTAGAGACCCACCATCGGATCACCTTGCAGTGCTGGAAGAATACTCGGAAGACGTACTGGATCATAGACGCAACTTTCTCGCCAAACTTGACCAGGGCTTCATCAACTCGCTCGGCAAACAACGCAAGTACACGGGCGATAAGATGTTAGATTTGTTGAGGGCGCTCAGGAACAAGAAGAACCACTACGAGGATATGGAGGATGCAATCAAGGCCAAGGTGGGCCCATTGCCGAGTGGCTATCTGAGATATTGGACGGTCAAGTTTCCGCAGCTGCTTATGAGCTGTTACGATGCGGTGTTGCGGTGTGATCTGGAGCGTGAGCCGCGGTTCAAGAAGTATTTTGAGAGCATGAAGTAGTGGATGAACGGGGGTATTGCTAGTGGCACACACCAAGATCAAACATGACTTGTCTGCTTATTTGCATTCGCAATAGCTCGGCGATGTATATCATGAACTATGTTGCTATTGCGAAGACGCATGTGCTACCTCTTCAATCCACTACCATCCAATTCCGCTAAACTCGCCTTGACCATGTCCGGGTTGCTCTTCAGCAGGTCTTGCACCCTCCTTTCAAAAGCCTTGATCATGAACTCTGCCACCTTGGGCGCCACACCCCCACTCAAGGCTGCGTACATTGGGTTCGCAAACGCAAACTCTACCGCCAAACTAACCTGTGTCTGGTCGTTCTGTATAGCCTCGACAGTCCACTTGCTCCGTAGATGCGTAAGCAAGCCATTCTCTCCTTCCTTCCTTTCTGTCCCCTGTTTCTCCCCGTCTAGATGATGCGCAATATCATCATTCTTCAAGCTCGTTTCCGTGTTTCCGCCTACACTCTCCACATAACGCCCAGGTATACAATACACCCTGCTCACAAAACTCTCTGTTATGCCGCCAAAACCGCTCGTCAAGATGCCTTCCGATGGCCACTGCCGACCATAGACTTTATCCGGTGCCGACCACTTCGTTATGTTGCTGCGTTGGCAGTACGGCAGGAAGTTTTGGTAGTTGGGTACATCGGCTATTATAGAGTAGACGGGGGCCGAGGGGTAGGGGAGAGTTCGCACGGCGGTTAGGACTTGTGGTGGCGAGGACGACGATGGGAGAGCGGAGTTTAAGGCTTCGAAGGGGTTGGGGAGGAAGGTTCGTCGCTGGGATGGGCGCTGGAGGAGGCGTGTGCAGCGGTGTATCGATGGGCGGGTGAATCGCAGGGATGACATTGTGGTTCAAAAGTAGTAGGTGCTGGTGGTATGCTGAAGTTGTGTAGATTGAGGTTAATTGGTGTCACCTCGACATGGTATCTGTGATTTGCCAAAAGTCCAGAGTCGATGAGCGCATCAAGCTTCAGTTGAACGTAAATTCGCGCTAGGAGATGCGGCTCTCTCAAATGCTGCATGACGCTATCATATGCCAGGGACCACGGCTGGACCAAACTTCTTTGGACACTAGCGCTCGAAATTTCCCCTCCATGAATTATCCCCCCGCATACGCGACTCTGTCAAAACTCCATGATGGCTGCGAATATGGATACCATGGACCACGGAACCGCGGACACTATGAATGGTGCAAATGCCCAGGATAGCGGCGACTCCAGATTCCAAACGGACAATACCGTGTCAAGAAAACCACAGCCGAAACAGCAACTATCCAAAGCAATGGAACACATGCGCTTCGCAGTCACAGTCGATCCTATACCGCACGCTTCAACTTCCACACCACCACCAGATGCCTCCGATCCCGCATCTCCACCCACCCAAGAAGGCACCGAGAACGACGCTTACGGAGTGCCTGCTTCTCTACAGCCCGTCCGCGCCCCACCCTCTCGCTCCCACGACCCTGGCAACAACCAAAAGCGCAGTGATCCCTTCGCTTTCGGTTCGCGCTACCTCGAGGAAGGCGACAACATCTTCGAATTCAATGCCTGGGACCACGTAACCGTCGACTCCAACTATCTCGCCTTTTCCGAAGAACAATATTCCAGACAACGGCAAGAACCCGTCTCGGACTTTGATCGCAAACGTTACAACGACCAGCCCGAGAAGTGGTGGAACCAGTTTTACAAGAACAACAAGACAAACTTCTTCAAGAACCGCAAATGGCTGGCGCAGGAATTTCCGATACTAGAGGAGTTGGGCGCAGAGAATGGACCTGAGGTCACCTTGTTGGAGGTTGGCGCCGGAGCGGGCAACAGTGCGTTTCCCATTCTGCAGAGGAGTCAGAACAAGAGGTTAAAAATACACGCGTGTGATTTCTCTAAAAAGGCAGTCGAACTTATACGCAACCACGAACTCTACGACCCGGAACGCATACAAGCCGACGTATGGGATGTAGCCGCATCCCCCGAGTCCGAAAACAGCGGCCTCCCTCCCGGCCTAACAGAAGGCAGCGTAGACGTCGTACTCATGATATTCATCTTCAGCGCCCTGAATCCCAAACAATGGGACCAAGCCGTCCGCAACATCTGGCGGGTCCTCAAGCCGGGCGGCCAGGTCCTCTTCCGCGACTACGGCCGTGGCGACCTAGCTCAAGTCCGCTTCAAGAAGGGCCGGTATATGGAAGAAAACTTCTACGTCCGTGGCGACGGCACGCGAGTTTACTTCTTCGAGCAGTCTGAACTCGAGGACATTTGGGGTGGAGCGGCCAGAAAACGCGATACGACGATTGGCAATGTAGCGGGTACAACGATATCCCAGACGGAGGCTGAAGGTGTCATCGCAGATCAAATTGAGAGTTTGTCTCTTCATGATCCGAGCTTGCAGACGAAAGAGCAGAGCCATGATGATGTCAATGATCTCGAGACCCCCAGACCGGGATTCGAGATTGCGCATATTGGCGTGGATAGACGCATGTTGGTTAATAGGCAGAGGAGGTTGAAAATGTATAGGTGTTGGATGCAGGCTGTGTTTCGCAAGGCGGGCATGGAGAGCGAGGTGCCGACAAGTACGCTGAGGCAGGATAAGGAGGAAGAGGAGGAGGAGGATGGACAACAAGAAGGAGGGAGTCGGGTGGGCAAAGAGGATGCTGTAGAAGGAGGGGGCGTCAAGGTTTAAGGATCTGGGTCTCGGAGACTGGAATGCATGGATCTACATGAATGGGATGAAGATGAATGATACCATAATCTCTAAGATATGAGAAGATAGAAGAAATACAATAGATTGCTTTCCAACTCGCTCATGGATTTGGAAAACAATGCTATGGGGAAGCACATCTCATTGGCCTTTCTGGTTTTTGTCTTGGTGTTTCTTCGTCTCCTCTCCCAAGGCCTACGAAGAGGCTTACGAGGTTGAGTGGTCAGAAAATCCCACGTCAGACGCTACTCTCTCACTCCATCAATCAGGCGTAGTAGGAAATGGAAGAGTCGTTGAAAACGTACTGAATTTGTGGTGTGCGTCTGCTATGCTGAGAAAACAAACACCCCTACGCTATGCTAATTTACTACGCTCATGATACAAGACATGATACAGGTTGAAAAACTCCATGCCACGCTATGCAAAACAAACGCACATACTCAGAGCCTCAATCGAGGATACAAAAAGAAACGACGAGTACCAAAGCCGTATCCCATCCAATCGAGTCCATAAACACAACATAACGCATCTACACGATTCCCTCTTTAATTCCCCTCAAGAATACCCTTGAGAATGCCAGCTCCAGGCCCCACGAGTGAGTCCGCCAGCTCCTTTTCTCCAACGACACTAGCAACCCTGCGATCCTCAACAACAACACCAGGAAAAGCTTTAGCCCTCCCCTCCGACTCGGCGTACCAGCGCCAACATCTAGCGATCCAGCTTTACCCTCGACTGCCGAAACAAGCGACAGTGTCTCCAGACTGCCCACGATATCCCTGAATTCGGTGCTCGTGAGAGGGTGTAGAATATTCTCTCGTTTACACAGCGCGGTGTAGGCCTCGAAGAGTTCTTTGATAGTAGGAGATGTAGTGTGGGATCTTGACGGTGTGGATAGAATGCTGTCGACAGCGGTGGCGCGCTTCTTCTTCTCGATAGCAGAAAGCGAACAGAGGACAGCTTTTTGTTGGAGGTTCAAGTTTCGCAGGCGTTGGCTTGTGCCGTTGCTGAATACTGCTGCTGTGATCTTCGCCATGTGGGCAATGGTGGCCCGTGGTGCGGTTTCGAAGGTGAGGGAGGCAAGAGAGGCGGCGATGATACTGTTTAGATCTTTGGGCTTCGTGGGAGAGCGCACGGCTGAGGAGGAGAGGTTGACTTTTTCCACCAAGGGAGTTTTTGAGGGTGAGGGGGTGGGTGATGGGGTGATTTCTGTGGCTTTCTTTGCGTGCTGGTCGCGTGTGTCGGCTTCGATGAGGTCGATTGCTCGACGGCAGATGTCGAAGGCTTTGCGTAGATCGCCGGATTGGGCGGCTACTTTCTTGGAGAGGAATATGATGGCGGTTGGGTGGATAAAGGGTAGTTGGGTTGAGCCTACTGGCAGAAGCGCCTTGAGTTTTGAAGTGATGACAGAAGAGATTTGCGTGGCGTTGTATGGGAGGAAGGGTAGTAGTTGTGGCTTGAGCCCGCGAGCCTTGAGTCGTGGGAGGAATCGATCCGTGAGATCCAACGCGTTCGCGATACCGACTAGCACAAGTCCCGATGCTTCCTGTAAGGACCACTCGAAGATGTTGTAAAAGAGTTCAATGTCCAGCTCCAGTAAGTGGTCCACTTCATCAAGCGTAACGACGTAAGACGTCTTCCGCTGCATGAAGATTGCCCGAAGCGCATCTACTTCATCGCCCTCTGCAATCTCGGTGATGTCGACAAACTCCTCCAAAAGCGTTCTGTACAGATCTGTGGCGTTCTTTACACTCATACAATTAATGTATCCGGTCCTGACAGATTCATTCGATGAGACGGTACGGCAGACATCGTCGACGAAGGCGCTCTTGCCAGTGCCTGGCGGACCGGAGACGTATATACATCCAGATCTCTTAGTCTTTGTTCTTGTTGTGATGAACGTCTCGAGCTCCCTCCTCTCGTTCTCCCGACCAAACAGTGCCGTTGGGGCAGAGCCTCTTGCAAACACCTGGCGCGCTTCATTGTAGATTGTTGGCCCCGTATTCCGTGGAGTGCCTGGGGTGTGTGGTGTGCGAGGCGTCAACGGTCGTCCGGCGATGATGAGACGGTGCCTGGGTGTGACGGCAACTTTGCCGGCAAGCGCGTCGCGATGCCTGGGTGTTGAAGGAGTAGGCGCAAACTTGTCTGGAATGTCCACGAGCGCCTTCTGCGGAGAATTCTCTTTGGCTGTTGAAAGTGGAAGCCGTGTGCATGGTGCGCCATACTTTGCAGGAGCTGTGCCAGCCTTCCTCCCGCGTTTCACCGACGTCTTCTCCTCGGGCTCGTCCACGTCCA